AGCTCACTTTTCAAAAGGAATCTGCACCTTCTAGAAGGACATAGATTTCAAGCTGGAAAGGGCTTCAGGTTCAACACCTTGATTATTTCAGAAGAGGAAACTGAGGCACAAAGAGCAGTGAATTAGGATCATAGCTCTGCTGGTCGCTGCAGGTGACAGTGAGCAGCTGACACTGCCCACACTCCTGGCAGCATCAGAGGTCTTGTTCTCTTATTTTGCAGAGGAAGACACTGAGGTAGAGATTTAGGACCACAGATTAAAGTTTTGAAAGAGACTTCAGATCTAAGTGGAGCTCTGGTCCAACCCCCACTCATTTTACTGAGGTCTTGTCAAAGGTCACACAAACAGCAAGTATCGGAGCAAGGATTTGAACCCAGCTAGGTGGTGCAGTGGATAGTGTGCTGGGCTCGGAATCAGGAAGACGAATCTTTGTTGAGTCCAAATCCAGCCTTAGACACCTACTTAGCTGTGTGACCTTAGGTGAGTCAACTAACCATCTGCCTCAGTTTCCTCATCTGTAAGATGAGCTGGAGAAGGAAATGGCAAACCACTCCAGTATCTCTGCCAAGAAAACCCCCAAATGGGGTCATGAAGAGTTTGACTCAAGTGAACCAAAAAGAATTATTCTTTCCCCTTTCTTTGTTTTCTCACTCCTAGAACACAATAGGCACTTAATAAATGCTCATCAGTGCACATGTAAGAATTGTTTCCCTGTGTCCTTGGAGCTTAACACAGTACCTGATCCACAGGAGTCCTTTAATAAATACTTGTTGATTGATTGATGGGTGTGGACATGACTGTTAACACCTAGTTGAAGTGATTAAGGATTAGGGATTGGGGAGTGGAGATTGGGGATCCCCCTGGGCTCAGGCAGCATTGAACTAAAGATGGGTGAATTGTTAAGGTTGGGCTCTCTTCCATCAGAGCTGCTCCTCTGAGCTGGGCCCATAAGAAGGGCGTGGAGGGTGGGAGCAAGGTCGGTCAGGTATTTGGCTCTTTGGGAGAGAGAGTTGAGCAGCAACATTTGGAGAGAGCTATGGACCTGGCAGGAATAGAAGCATTCCGTGGGCTTTCAGCCTCGTTTCTGACCTCCTTCCCAAACTTCAGGTGTGGAGCCATCTGACTCAGCTTCCCAGATAAAGGAGAGATTTCCTAGACAATGTAGCGCTTAAGGATCAATGAGCACAGTAAGCCCAGTGACATCAAATGTAAACTTTCCTCCTTACAACTTCCACCTAGCTCCGTCCTCCTCGAATGCAGCTAACACCCTTCTCCCACTCCCCGGGTTCTCTTCTACATTAACCCGTTTCTTCCTACAACTTTAATTGGGCAACGTGGCATTTGTCGTTTAGTTGTTTCACTTGTGTCTGACTATCCGTGACCCCATTTGGGATTTTCTTGGCAAAAATCCTGAAGTGATTTGCTATTTCCTTCTCCAGTTCATTTTACAGAAGAGGAAAATGAGGCAAACAGGGTTAAGTGACTTACCCAGGGTCACACAGTTAGTAAGAATCTGAGATCAGATTAAAACTCATGAAAATGAGTTTTCCTGACTCCAGGCCTCGTATTCTGTGCAATATGTCTGCCCTTAGCTGCCCCAGCATGGTAGAGTAGAATAGATAATGCCCTGGACTTGGAATCAAGAAGATCTATCCTGGTTTAGGGCCTCAGTTTCCTTTTCTGTAAAATGGGAACAATAATGGCTCCCATTTCAGAGCAAATATAGGAGCACAGATTTAGACTGCGAAGGGGCCTTAGAGATCATCTAAGACCAAACCCCTTATTTGACAGATGAGGAAATCGAAGCCCTAAAACATAAAGTCATACAGGTGGTATCAAAGATGGGATTTGCACTCAAGTCCTCTGTCTCTAAATACAGCTGCTCTTTCCCTGCACGATGAAGTGTTTTGAGAACCTGATGAGATCATTGCATGGAAAACAGTTCGCAAACTTCAAAGGCCTGTATAAAAATTGGTTCTTCGTATTTCCCAGAATGGTTTCTCTAATACCTGAAGGCAGCTATCATGCCTGGCCCCCTCTGCCCTTATTCTCTCATCAGGAAGGTCTCGATTTTCTTCATTCATCAGCTGCCAATTGTATTTATAAACTATAATAGGACCACAGAACCTGAATCTAGTTCAGAGACCATGTAATCCAAACCCTTCATTTTACAGATGAGGAAACTGAGGCCCTAAAGAAGGGGACTGACTTGTCCCAGGTCACACGGGAAATGGGACGAGAACCCTGGATCTTAGGACTCCCAGGACTCTGTCCATGACACCGCAAGGACTGTCCTTAGATCGCATGGTGGAGAGCTGGTGGGTGGCTGCTGGTCAGTGTTGGAGGGGTGGGAAGCATACATTAAACCAAGATTTTAATCAGCTCTATTTCGTATGATTCCTCTTTACATTCTCTGCATTCTAGTCCAACTTGGCTGGTCTTTGTCCTTGAAATTTTCCTGCCCTCCCCCATACTCTTTCTTTGCTCAAATTCTTTCTGATATTTGGAATAGATTCCACCCCCTCTCCTCCACATTCATCTGGTCAAGGTCCTGGGAAGTACTGAGGCTGGATTTGAACTCAGGTCTTGCAGGCCCAGATGTCTATCCACTTTGCCCCCTAGTTGCTCTGTTTATTACCAAGGAAAAAGTATATGTGTTAGGTAAGAACATGTGTGTGTCCATGTGTGTAAAGCAATGAAAATCCATATAAAGGATGACATGAGAAGCACAGTGGATAGATAGATAGGGGGTCCGTAAGTCAGGAAGACCCTGGCTGGGTGGCCCCCAGAAAATCCCTTCCCTCTGGGGCCCCAGGCAACTTTCTGACTACAAATGGAAAAGCAGGTGCCAACCTGCAGTGAGACAGGGAGTTACCTCATCAGGAGCTCCATGTACCAATGAAATCAGATGTCTAGTTCATCCACTGGTTTCAGCAGACTAAACCTTCTACCCTAATCTTTGCCTAAAGTTCCTGGAGCTACACCCTTGGTCCCATGATCCTTTGTAGGCCTGGACCAACATTCTGTGGTGTCCAGTCTTCCACCTCTCCCCCTGCAACAGGAAGGGTTAGTAAGGTCTCTGGACAGCAACTTAGGAATTTGAACCAAGAAGGTAGAACCTCCCAATTCAGTTCAATTCCACAGCAGAGTGTTATACATCAAAAACACGTAGTACTGGAATACACATGTGGCATTCAGAGTAAAAGCACCTAAGCAAACTGGAGGATTGGCCTCCTGGGTCCCCTCCTAATTTCTACAGGCAACAGACTAATAGAGTAAGAAAAAAAAAGATAAGGACTCCTTGAGCAAACCAATTACTCTCTTTGAGCCTCAGTTTCCTGATCTGTAAAATAGGAATCATTCACACGTGCGCAATTTGATCATCTCCAAGGATTATGGGAGGCAGCTGGTGGCAGGGTGGATAGAGCCTGGAGTCAGGAAGACCTGAGTTCAAATTTGGCCTCAGATACTTACTAGCCCCTTGGCCTGGGTAAATCCCCTCTGTATGCCTCAGTTTCCCCATCTGTAAAGTGGGGATGATAATAATGGCACCTTCCTCCCAGGGTTGTTGTGAAGATCAAATGAGATAATATTTGTAAGGTATATATATATATATATATATATATATATTATTATATATAAATACTAGCTGCTATCATTATGAAGAAAGTTCAACCTTAAAATGCTCTAAAAATGTAAGGGTTGTTTTTGTTTTATTTTGTTTTTTAAAGGTGAACACCCTCTGCCATCTTTGCGGGCATGAGTTCAAGGAGAATCACTTTATAAAGCCCCAGACTGGGAACAGATACTGGGTGGGGTCCGGTTTGTTATTGGAATTCCAGCCACAGCTTCCCCTGATCTTCTGGGGTTTTCAGCAGAGCATGGAAAGGGGCCGGACGTGGGTTTCTGACCCTGCCACGTGTGTTTCTTCTTAATTCGTCGTCCTCCCAGGGCTCATCTCCTGTGCTTCCGATTCCAGATTCCTACTGCTCGTTCTCATCTCCAAATGTGGTGCGAGAAGAGTGTGAATCCCAGCCGACTCGCTTACTGCTGGTGTGACCAGGGCCAGCTCGATGGATCACTCTCTGGTCCTCACTTTCTTCCATTATAAAATTAGGAGGTTGGACTGGATGACCAATCACACTGCCCTTCCAGGCATTATTATTCTCTTTTGTGTTTGTTTGGTTATTGTTTGTTTTGGTTTGGACCCAGTAGGGAACTCCAGAGGAGGGAAACCAGGTTAATCATTTCAGTCTTAGGAAGTTGCCTGGGGACCCTGGAAGTTAAATGACTTGCCCAAGAACACACAGTCCGTATGTGGCAAAGACAAGATGTGGTCTCAGGTCTTCCTGACTCCTACATGAACACTCTATTTCATGTTGTCTATGTCATCACCACGACCATCTCAACACCACCACCACCACCACCACCATCTTCCTTCTGCTCCTCTTCCTCATCCCCCTCATCATCATTTCCCCAGCCTCCTGTTAAACTCTTCTGCTAAAAGAGAGGGCATCTGCCTTCTAACTTACACCTATAATGAATGATTAGAAACAACTTGTTAGACGAGAAAGCACTTTCTTTTTACTTCCCAAGATAAAAAACAACTGGTGAAACCAGCCTAGGAAAGGGCAGCCCCAGCCCCTGAACTTTCCTCTAAGCACCAACCGTCTTATAAACACCAAGTTCAGAGATTTCTCACTCCCCCAACCCCCATCTGCTGCCTTGTATTGCTCAAGGCTCAGCTGCTTCCTTAGAAAGGCCAGCACTGACTGAGCCCCCAGCTCAGAACCTGGCTCCCTGGAGGGCTTGGCCGCTTCGCCCGACTCCCAACCGTTTGCAAAGAATGAAGAGCCCACAGGGCTCAGGGCCCTGCAAATGCCGCCCCCTGCTCCCGTCCTAAGCTCCCTAAAAGGGATCTCCCCCGCTCCTGCCCAGGGCTTCATCGCCTGCCCACGGGCCAGAAGAAAGAAAAAAGCCCATGAGTGGCAGTGACCTACCCTGAGCAGCAGCTTGGCTGGTGGCTGGGAATTCCCAGGGAGAGGTCCCGCTTGTCCAGCCTGTCCGGCCCCACACTGGCTGCAGAGCTCTCCCCAGCAGCCCTCACTGAAACTGCTCAGCTCCTCGGGGAGCCGGGGCCAGGGGGCGGGCCCAAGGGAGCTCTCCAAAGGTGGCTGCCAGCCCCTGTCCCCCCCTGTCCTGGCCCTGCCCCGCCCAGCCCAGCCCAGCCCTGGTTTGTACGTAGGCACAGATCTGGAAACCTGTTCTCCAAGTTGGAAAGCGAAACATCTGCAGTGCTCAAGGAGCTCAGGGCCAGCCCTGCCCACCCTAGGGCCAGTTAGTGGAAGGCGGTCTATCGTTTCATTACCCGCCATCTGAGAGGAAGACTGGAGGAGGCCAGATTAATAATTAGCTCGTCCTGGGCTCCTGGTGGCTCTGGTCTCCCCAGCACACCCGACAAGGGGGCCCAACCTTTCCCTGAGGCTTCCCAGGATTCCCTGACTCACCAGGAGCGCTCTGGTGCCGGGGAGCCCCAAGGACTGAGTCTACTTACAAAGACGGGACCCAATGCTGGCTCTTGAAGGCATTTTCATATTCCAGAGACCTAGACCTAGAACTGGACCAAAAGATGGGACCTTGGAAGCCTCCCTTGCTTTAGGGAAGAAAAACAGAGACCCACAGGAGTTAAGTGATTTGCCCAAGGTCACAGGTGTGTGGCACAGGCCAGCATTCCAACCCAGGTCTATGACTCCAAATCCCTGCAGATGGTTGTTCCGGCAGCTCTCTGATCCCCAGGAGACTCCAAGCAAGGTCACAGCAAAGACAAGTGGCTCTGTCCTCATTTTGGCCATGAGGCCCAAAGAGATTAATCTATTTACTCCAAAGTCCAGGAATGATTTATGATTTACAAAGCATTTCACATACATTATATTTCTTGATTCTCACAACAATTCTCACAACAATCCTCACAACAACCCCAGAAGGTAGGTGATATTATTCCCTCCACCCTCCGTAAAAACTGAGACTCGGCAGGGTCAAGTGATTTCCCCAGGGTCACACAACCAGGAAGGGTTTGAGGCAGAATTCAATCTCAGAGCTTCCTGATTCTAAATCCAGCACTCTATCCACTGTGCTACCTACCTTCCTCTCTCAACTCAAGTGTCCAAAGAAGGGCTGGAATCCAAGTTCAGGAGTAATCAATCCATCCCACTATTCTGCTTCCTCTACTCTCCCCCCACACCCCTACCCCACCCCACCCAACCTCCCCTTCACATACACATGCCTCAAAACAGGGTAGCTCTGGTTAGTAAACAGGTTTTTGGAACAATGGAAAAAGCAAGGAGTGGGGAGCCAAGAAACCTGGAATTGGACTCCAGACCTGGTGCTCATTGGCGATAACCTTAAGGGAATCACTCTCTGGTCCTCAGTTTCCTCCTCTGGAAAAGGAGGGGAATGGAATAGATGGTCTCTCAAGTTCTCAAATAGTTGACCTATTCTGTTCTAAGGGCCCTCCCAGCCCTGACATTCCCTGTTCTTTTTTTTTGGTGAGGCAATTGGGGTTAAGTGACTTGCCCAGGATCACACAGCTAGTAAGGGTCATGTGTCTGAGGCCAGATTTGAACTCAGGTCCTTCTGACTCCAAGGCTGGTGCTACATCCACCGTGCCATCTAGCTGCCCCGACATTCCCTGTTCTAAGGGCCCTATAAATTGTGACAGTTAAGCCTCCTTCTGGCTGATATTCTGTTCTAAGGCCCTTCCCAGCTTGGGTCTCCATTCTAAGGATGCTCCCAGCATTGACATTTTTTGTTCTGAAGTCCTTCCCAGTGTCTGTTCTAAGATTCAAGCCCACTTAGCTCTGATATTTTATGAGCCCCTAAGCTGGAATACTCCAAAGCTCCTACAGCCAGAGACCCAGGGCCGATGCCCTCCCAGGAGGAAGGTGCCTAATGAAAACAATCACAGAGGTGAGAAAATGTGCTTTCTCCCTTGGGCTTGCTCGCAGTCTCTCTAGAACTGCTGGATTCCCCTGAGACCTGGCCAGAGGGCTCCCTACCTTTCTTCTGCAGGCAACTGTGAATTACTAGTTGTCTTTGGTTTGGCCCTTGAGTGTCTGAGCTGGCCTCTCTCCAGCGGGCTGGGCCCCCAGAGCTATGTCGGAGAGCACTTAAAATGCTCGGCTCACTAGAGAAACTGCATGCCAACCATACCCTGAGCCAGGGGCTTTGGGGCCAGGATGCACTCACAGACTATCCCCCTGAAGGGATAATTGGGAAATCAATTCAACTAAGCCCAGGGCCATGGTTCCAGTTCACCCCAGGCCTCCTCCAGAGAAAGAATACTTGATTCTTACTGTTGAAGGGGACCTTGGAGATCGATTTTTATTAAGCACTTCCTGCATACCGAATATTAAACTAGCTGCTAGAAGCAGACAGGAAGTTTAGGTCATTTAGGTCATTGGACTGTCCAACCTGCCTCACAATGCAAGACTCCTCTCTATGGTTCCTGACAGGGGTCAGCCTTGCTTCTGAATGAATACCCCACAGGCTCTGCCCTAAGCCAAGCTGTCTTTACTGCTCAAATACACCACTGCAACCTAATTGATCTCAATGACTTTGGTATTTCCCTTATCCAATATATCTGCCACACAGCCACCAAACCGATGTTTCTATATCACAGACCCGACCACAATACTCTCAACCCCAACTTTAAGAGGGAGAGAGAGAGAGACAGAGGAGACAGAGAGACAGAGAGACAGAGGCAGAGGGGGGGGGGGGGGGGGGGGGGGGAGAGGGAGAGAAAGAAGAGACAGAGAGACAGAGGCAGAGAGAGAGAGGAGAGAGAGAGCCCTCAATGGCTATCTATTGCCTAAAATGTCCTCCCCAATCTGGCTGCCATATATATCATTCATTCCTTTTCACACACTCTTCTTTCCAGTCAAATTGACCTAGTGGCTCTACTCTTGTAAGGGATATCTCATCTCCAGTCTCTGTACATCACTGATGGTCCTCTGTATCCGGAACATAGTTATTGATATAGAATCCTTGGGGCAGCTAGGTGGTGTAGTGGATAGAGTATTTGGGCTGGAGTCAGCAAGACCTGACTTCAAATCCAGGCTCAGACACCAACTAGTTGGGTGACCTTGGACAAGTCACTTAACCCAGTTCACCTCAGTTTCCTCATCTGTAAGATGAGCTGGAGAAGGAAATGGCAAACCACTTCAGTATCTCTGCCAAGAAAACCCCAAATAGGATCATGAAGAGTCAGAAAGGACTGAACCACCACCACCACCACCACCACCACCACCACTGTCTTATGCTAAGCAAAAATCTATTTCCCTATAACTCCTACCCAGAGGTCTCTGTTCTGCTCCTTCTTCCTCATGACAACCCTTCAGATGCATGAATATAGAATCATTCCCTTCTCTCTCCAGAGTCTTTGCTTTTCAAGGAAAAGACTGCCCCTTGGCTGGGGAGGGACTTGGTACTCCAGTCACATCCAGTGATTTCACACATAGAAAATCAATTTGGTTTCTCAAACAAACAGGATTTGGGAAGCGCTTTCACATATCCTCCAGATTTATTCAGAGTGAGTAGTCTTTCCTGGTAATGAACATAGACAGACCAGCAGGTCTGGTTAACAAGACCCTCTTAATGCTGCAGGCTATGTTTCCTTACTGAGAAGCATGAGGGGAGAAGACCCTGCCTCAGAAAAGAGGAGCTGATATCTTGCCATCGGAGAAGTGGATTGGAAGCATAAGGGATTTTCCGAGCCCAGAGGCAAAATACATGATAACCTATTCTCAGCACATCCTGCATGGTCCACCCATAGCAGGTTCCATAATAACAGCTGACATTTCTATGGGTCTATTCTCACATCTATTTCTATATTTTACAGCTTTCAAAGTGATTTTCATAAGTCCTTTAGGCTCACTTCCCTAATTCATTCTTGAATGTGTTGTGGGGGGCTGGATCCCTAGAGAGCAGATACTCTTCCTCTTTCTGGATTGTAGGGGTAATCTTGAGGAGCTATGGGTCTTGAATTGTTGCTCTTGAGCCCCCAACAGTATGCTCCTCAACAACAATCAGCCAGGAGACTTCATTTCTTTTAGAAAACTGACTTATTGGGGCAGCTGGGTGGCACAGTGGATAGAGCACCAGCCCTGAAGTCAGAGGACCTGAGCTCAAATCTGGCCTCAGACCAAACACTTGACACTTACTAGCTGTGTGACCCTGGGCAAGTCACTTAACCCCAATTGCCAAAAAAAAAAAGAAAAGAAAAGAAAAAGAAAATTGATTTATTGAGAAAATATAGTAGGAATGGTTGGTATAAAACATTTCCTCCAAAATCATAGACCTATAATCCCCTTGTACACACAAGGTCCTTGGAGAGAATGGACTCAAGCTCAAAGTAGAGTGATAATGAGGCACATGTGTAGAGAGCACATGTGGGAAAGGGGTACCTCACATTTCTTTTCTCCCCTTGTGCAGTCCTTACCAAGTTTCCCTTAGGTATAGCTCCCTGCCAGGTGGGGATCCCATAACTATGGAGGTACAAACCTCTATGAGAACATGGTTGGCTCTTATCTCCATCTTGAAGGGTCACACTCCCTGAAGGTGCCACTGTCCTTTGATGACTATCTTTTTACATCTGTCTGCAGCCACTTGCACTCAGCCACTACTATTCTCATGACCACTGCGGACAGGGGGCCTCTATTTCATATATTTTTCAGTACATGTGTTTTTTAAACAACCATTATTTAAGTAGCTTTAATTGGATTTTATGGTTTTCAGGGACTTAATACATTTTTTAAAAAGGAAAAAAATCCTTGAACTTTCTGGACTAAGCCCACAATAACATTGTTAACAGCCTCTGACACTGTTGATCACCCTCTTCTCCTTAATACAGCCCTCTCTCTAGATTTTCATGACACTTTTGTCTACTAATTCTCCTCCTCCATGGCCATTCCTTCTTAGTCTCCTTTGGTTTCTCAAGCAAACAGGATTTCATAAGCCCTTTCACACATCCTCCAGATTTATGCAGAGTGAGTACCCTCTCCTAGTAACAAACATAGACAAACCAGTAGGTCTGGGTAATGTGACCTCCTGGTCCTAATGCTGCA